TTGATAAATTTTTGGATCCATAGTTATGTGAAAATTTCTTATTTTAATGTCCTTGTATTTGGTCAGATCTTGTAAGAGTTTAGAATGTTCCTGAAAAAAGACTCCTATTCTTAGTTATTGAATACAACATTTTATGAAGGCAAATTGGCTCTATTCTTTAATCACATTGTTCAAATGATCAATAGTTTCATTTTTGTTTATATGGTAGTTTTGGTTAAGCTGGAGCTGTATTTCCCAGAAATTTTCTTTTTTCCTTATAGGGTGTCAGGTTCTATTTGCAAAAGAGGCAAACATAAGTGAAGCAGCAGCTAATTCTCTGTGGAGGTCTTTGCAGCCAGATATATGAAGGACACACAGACGGGGCTCCAGTTGGGCTTGTCCTCACTCTGTTCCACTTCATTTCCAGATCTTCCTGACCAGCGGTGAAACTTGGTTGCAAACTCACAGAAGTAGCTATACAGAAGCAATGGCCTTCTATAGACTTCTTCATGAGTCTTCCTGCCTAGTCTCATTTCCGCCCTTGAATATCCATATGTGCTCCAGTTTTCCGCCTATGGCAGTGTTTCAGGAGAGGTGAATAGTGCCTTTCTCTGACCCTTCAGCCCTTCCAGACCACGACTTCCCAGTTTCTTCCAGTTTCAAAGGCCTATTTTCTATAACAAACCCTTTATTCTACAATATTCATAGTTTTGCTGTCCTGATTAAACCCTGAAAATCTGTTTATTCTTTCAACCTCGAATGTGTCTTTCACATACAGAATGTGATGTATTCATCTCAATCTCTGGCCAGCATGCACTTTTGTTTTCTTGAATATGTTAGTAAAAGCAAATCTCTCTCTCTCTCTCTCACTCTCTCTCTTTTTTTTAAATTTTTTTTTCAACGTTTATTTATTTTGGGGACAGAGAGAGACAGAGCATGAACGGGCGAGGGGCAGAGAGAGAGGGAGACACAGAATCGGAAACAGGCTCCAGGCTCTGAGCCATCAGCCCAGAGCCCGACGCGGGGCTCGAACTCACGGACCGCGAGATCGCGACCTGGCTGAAGTCGGACGCTTAACCGACTGCGCCACCCAGGCGCCCCTCTCTTTTTTTAAATTAAATAGAAACTATAAGTCTAGGGCTCTTAGGGTATAAGATTTCAGTTACCTCTGTACACTGCAGAATTAGGACAGTTGTACACATTTGGAAATCCTGAGTTCACATGCCCTGACATACTTCCCTCATGGGTTGAAATGATAAGTTTGAGAGTTAGTATGAAAATGCTTTAGGCTAGGAATTTGGCATTCTTAGGAAATTGTCAATTCTTATACCCACCAAAACATTACTTGGGAGATTTCACCTTTATCACCTCCCAAAGGAGAAAAAAAATAAAGAGACAAAACAAAAAAAGTACCACCTTCTCCAAATTTCCTGGACCATAACAGCCTCTTAGTTTAAGGAATTTGCATCTCTAAATGTGACAAACATGGAATTTTGTGAAGTAATCACTTTACATGTAATGCGTCTTAAGGATTCTAAACAAAAACAAGACTTAAAAATCTCTTAGGGTACTCAAATTCAGAGGAATCATATCAATGTTTTACTGGAAGAATAAATTGAGTTCATGTCAAAGTATTTATTCACTGCATGAGTTTGAATCTCTTGAGATTGATGTACAGGTTACTTAAGAGCAACTTTCCCTGTATACCTCCATTCCCACCTCCTCGGGGGAGGGAAAACAACAGACAAAAGAAAAGAAAAAGGAGTACCCATTTTCTTGGTTAACACCATGGCACAGAATCACTCACAGGAAAGATATGCTAGTCAAATATGGGGGTGGGGGAGTTGAAGCTGGAATCTCATATACTTTGAACTATGCTATTCTTTTTAATATTCTCATGAATTTTTGCTCTTCTTTTTAATATTCCCATGAATTCTTACATAATGCTGGAATAGCTGACATACCTGAATTATCATACATAAAGCAGAAGAGTAAAAATCTGTCCAGAAAAAGAATAACATAATAGTTATAGTCAATGACGGTGGCAGACTTCAAAGTCTAGTCAATGGTACTCTGGCAATGCTCTGTTCCCTATTAACATTCTTTGATAACATAATAACTATTGCTAATTAAAAACAACTATTATAGAGAGGTTCTTTCAAAACAGACTCCCCTGTTGAATGAGTGATACAAACGCCTCACCCTCAACTGGAGTCCATCAACAGAGATCCAGGGCTACCCATAGCAGCTGACGCTACACAGGCACTTTGGAATCCAAGTTTTACTCTTGACACCTAGTAGTTTTCAGCTTGAAACTTCTTTGGCTTTTCTCTCATCCTCACTGAGATGGCTTAGGAGAGAGACATTCTTCTCACTACCCACAGCTGCACCATGCTGCCTCACTGCGCCTCTCCCCATGGAAGCATGCACAGCTTCATAAGGAGAGAACACTATTTTATCTCCTTCTTCCTCTGCCCCTCCTCTTCATTATCATCGTCTTTGCATCTTCTCCTTGATAAGCTGCTTAATGGCTTAGCTGAGAGAAGAATGTTAAAGCCAAGAGAAATCATGAGATGCGACAAAGATAAGACAGCAGCCCATTTAATTAAGATACTCCCTTCTTGATGGATTCCTCTAAAATAAATGTTTTGAGGTGGATTTTGCTTCTTGTGTGCAAAGAAAAACTGATGAAGGCAAGGATTAGAGATGACATTTGAAAAGAGTTATGTAATTTTTTTGGCTTTTGCACTTAAAATTATTTCAAATAAAATCTCAAGTGTTTCCTGGAACATTTCTGGAAAAAAAGAAAGTTTGGGTTTGACTGGATGATAAAAACATCAGCCATGCTGATAAATCTCAACCTACACTTGGTAGTCTCTAAATTCAGCCCTCCATTAATAACACAATGATTCTACCAATCATTGGAACTATTCACTTGTCTTCAAATGATTTCCTCTCTTGCTAGCTTCTCCATACATTCTAGAAACCTGACACTTGAGTTGATTTTGTTTTAAGATTGCAGTGTACAGATAATTTTACGAGTTTGATTTGTCTTTATTTAACACTCTAGATCTATAAATACTGTTAAGCCATACAAACTAAAACTTATATCCAAGAAACCAATTTCCACACTCTTCCTTATTTTTATTAGCACCTGGAAGAAAGCAATATGTATGAGCTGTGCACAAGGGACAACACTGTAGTAACAAAGAGTTTGATTTCACAAGCCAAAGATACTGCATCTGTGGCTTATTTCATAGTAACATTGACTGGTGTTCTCAAGCAAAAAATAGGTCTCCTCTTCTTATGAAATCATTTTTTCAATAATGAGATCATTTTAAATTACACAAAAATGTTTTTTTAAATATACCCAGTGGATGCCAAATCATTACTGCCAATATTGGGGTAACTGTCTCATGGTTTTATAAAATTCATAATCCTCATTTCTAAATGCTTAATACTGAACACCAGTTAATACCACCTGCCATGTACTTAATATTGGCAATTCTACAAAAATGTATTAGGATCAAATAATGAAATACTACCTAAAAAAATCTTGTGATAAAGTTTCTCCTTTTGTATACAATTTAAAAAAACACCATTTTTTTGGAACTGAAGTGTAATTTGAAGCTACGGACGTAAATACTATATAACTGAACTGTATCTCTCACTCTATAATGTTAAAAATATGGATGAAGTATTTTTAAGAGAAAGAAGAACAGGTGTACATGTGCCATAGGCCTACATATGAGAGAAATCATTCAGTTAATTTTTTCTCACTTAGCTATCAAATCCATCACCCCCTTCTTCCTTGGTTGATCTTTTGGTGTTAAACTCCATGAATAATGTTAAATTGACAATTTCTCTAAAAGAAGCTAACATTTGAGATGTTACATCACATCAGATGAACAGCACAACCACTTCTTGTGTGTCAAAGGCATAGGGACAAGGCACTGAGCACTCTATGGAGCAATGAATGCATCAATAGAAAACAGTGTAAACCCATTAAAAGACTTGAGATTGCTTTAAACAGAGAGATCAAATTTCATAAACAACTTGTACCTAACTTATACAAAGAGCTAATGCTCAAACAGGTTTCATGATGCAAAATACACATTGTAGAAGAAAAATGATTTTTAAAAATTCAACAATTTTTTATAGATTAAGCTCAACAAATTAATCAATATTCATTGTCTTGTGTTTGTTAACTAGTAAGAAGACACATTTACTTCTCTACAATATCTTTCATTTTCTTAAAGAACTGAAGCAACCTAACAACTTAATGCTGTTTTCCAGATAACAATCCACACTTGAAATTGCCGTTACCAAAATGTCGTCTTTAAAGAACTGAGATGTTAGACTTTTGTTGAAACCCAAATGTCCAGTCTCTTGAAAAATCAATTCTGCATTGACCTGGAAGGGCTATCTGGGATTCTGATGGAAGTTTACCTTATTCAGGATGATTTCAAGAACAAATCCCTGCCATGATATTTACTCAACGCATTTAATAAATGAGTTTTCTTAAGTCGTTTAATTTGGGGGTTTCATTCACATGGTCGAAGATGGCAGGATATAGATGGCTCAGTAGGCCTCTTCTTTTCTCCATGTCCCAACATTTTTCTTGATGGGAAGAAGTTATAAAACAACCCAATAGGAGACCATGAAAATGTGCAGATGCACTGGAACATGATGGGATAGCCCAAGTCCAGTGTTTAATTCTAAACTGCAACATCCCATGATTTTCCATTATTCTGATTTGATATGCACTCTTAACAATCATTTCTAGAACTCCAGAAAACAATATCTGCAGAGGGCTCAGTCAATGAAGCAGACAAGTGGTATTCTTCCAACCTCACAAAGTTGGCCTCTGTAAAAGGGTACAGAAAACTCTCAGTTAAAAAAAGAAGAAGGAAGAGGAGGAGGCAGGGTGAAACTGACATGTGGCTTCTGGCCTCTGGCCTGAAAACCCACGGAAAATTGTGAAGCCTAACAGGCAACCAGTGGCTTGTTCATTATGTTGATTAGACTGTTGATTTAGCCAGTTGTGTTTTGTTTTCCTGAATCAGGACTTCTTTGGCAAGTTCACTTGAATTAGCTCTCAAGTTCTCTTTTAATTTGTTAAGCTCAAAGTCATGGAGAATCTTGATAGTCATTAACTTTTCTCTCTTGATTCTCTCCAGAACATCTTTTGGAACATCAGGAATCATCCAGGCCAACAAAAATTTAACTAAAAACACAACGTGCTGGAGGAAAAATAAAAGAACATCAAGGACATTAGAATTGTCAAATGTTCAGCAGGAAGTTCTTACAAACCACTTTAATCATTCAATAAACTGTGCTCAACACAGAAGTATGAGGAAAAGGCAAAAGATACGGTCGTTGTCCCAGAACTTTCCCAGAAAGACAAACCTTAAGCAAATGAATATATACTAAAATGTGTAATTATAGACATTTAAGTTGATCATGGTTATTGAATATACTTTTTTCTATGCTCACTCCTGAAAACCCAATACATATTTGTAAAAGAATTTTGAAAAATGGTGTAACTCACAAAGACCCAAAAAAAAAAAAAAAAAAAAAAAAAAAAAAAAAAAAAAAAAAAAAAAAAAAAGGAGGAAACAGTAGGAACAGATTCCAGAGATGGAAGAAAGCTGGCGCTTAAACTTGCAATTGGTGATATGGTGATGGTAAAAACCAAGAAGACAAAAGCCAACTTTATTTTAGATCTTCAATAAATATCAGGAAAGATGGTCTTATGGACCTGGAAAGCATGCATGTGGGTGGATTTGAAAACAAGAGGATTAGCCAAAATTTGGTATAAGGAGGAGCAGGTGAATTTTCAGGACCTCTCTCCCACCTTCATCCAGGTACTACTTCTCTCCAACCTCACCCTGGCAGCAGTTGAGTAATTTGCTTTCTGTAGAAATCAAAACAGAAAGCTGTGAACTCAGGAGCACCAGAGACACCAGAGAATGGAGAGGGGGCAGCATTCTGAAAACAGGGCAACTAAGTGAAATTCAGTGAATCCTAAGATCCCTAGTCTTCTTCTGTCTTGCTCAGCTCTCAGAATACAGGTAGCCATAAAATAGCTCAACAGAAAAGAGTTCAGAGGATTTTTCTTTGGGGAGGGTAACCAGTCTGTGAAATTAGAATGGTAGATATCAAAATTTTGTAGGCTTCAAATGAAAAGGTCCCCCTCCCTAACTCGTCACCCTATAGTGAAACCCACCAAGTGACATTCTTCTTGTATGCACACAAAGCTTATAATCAGCTCTCATTTATTCACTCTTAAGTATGAGCAGGTTGGCAAGAATCACCCATTATGTAAGAAAGTCTCTAATGTAAAAGAAAAAATTTGAAACAGGCAAATGGGAACTAAGAGGCAACAGAAATAATGAAGGAACAAAAGAACAGAACAAAAAGACAAAAAATAGGAGACCAACTACTTATAGGAGAGAAATAAGAATTTCAAAACAGAAAGCATAACACCTGAGTAACAGAAGTTCCAGAAAGACAGAACAGAGAAAAGAAAGAAAGAATAAAAAATAATAATAATACATACAAGCAAATTTTCTCACCCTGAAGGGTAAGTATGTTTTCAGATTTATAGAGTCCAGCAAAGTGTCCAAAAAAATGAATACTGTCCAATAACAAGAAGCTGTCTTGTAATGTTTCATAGAAGAGGACTAGTGGGAGAATCCTTAAAGCTTATTGATTTAATAAAAGATCAGAAACAAAGACTGGGGAATTGGAATGCTGACACTGAAACTGACAGAAAATGGTGCAATGTCTCCAAAAATGTCAGGAATACCTGGGGTGCCTGGGTGGCTCAGTTGGTTAAGCAGCCACCTCTTGGTTTCGGCTCAGTCACAATCATGGTCATGAGATAGAGCCCCACATCAGGCTTCATGTTGTGAGAGCACAGCCTGCTTGGGAATCTCTCTCTCCCTCTTTCTCTGCACCTCCCATACGTGCGTGCTCTCTTTTTCTCTTTCTCAAATAATAAATAAATTTTTTAAAAAGTGTCAGGAATACCTAAATAAAGTTGGTTGAAAATTTTTCAGGGAAATAACTTTCAGTCTTGAATTCTATATCACTTAGTCATCTGTGTGGAAAGAAAAGAAATTTCCAATATTTAAGGTCTCAAAAATTGACCACCCATAATTTTCCTCAGAAAATTACTGAAAAATATACTTCACCTAAATAAGCTAGTAAACCAAGAATGGGAGAAACATAGACTGCAGATAATGTAGCATATAGCATTCAATACAAGAGAAGGTGAAAAGAAGTCCCAGGATGATGGTGAGTCAGAGCTCACCAGATTAAAAACTGGTCATCAGAGCTGGAAGATTAAAAACATTAATAAGAATAATAAATAAACAAAACTCAAAAATGAAAAAAAATCCTGGTGCAAATGACCAGACTGAATGGTGAGCTAAACTGATGATGTAAAATATGGGAATTAAACAGTGATAAAGTCATAAAGAACTGAGAGAAAAGAGAAGAAAAACATGGGGAGGGATACACATAAGACTGCTCTCTCTTTTATCATGTAGAATCTGTGTCTGCTTGCATTAGACTTGTGTATTATTAGATTTCACAGCAGAGTGAAAAAGTGCCTCACCTTTATTTCTCTCCCTTATTGGCCTTCATATGTTATGATGTAGAACACTCAATATGTAACTTACCCAAATCCCCCCTCTGTATTTGTTCTCTTTGAACGCATGCCTTATATCCATAACAAGAATGGATAATCCACAAAGGGGGAAACATAATACAGTGGACAGAGCAGATGCTTGGCAGTGATATAGCTGGCAATGAAACTCAGCTCCAATATTAGCTGATTATCTTTAAAACCACTGCTAATTCTGCTGAGTCTCAGATTTATTTCTCAAGAGTCACTAATAAAGTCTAACTTACAGGGTTATTATTATAGTGTCTGGAATCACTATATAATAGATACTCAGTAACATCAATGAGTTCTCTGTCCTTTTATCGACCTTGAAAGAAGAGGCCACATTTTTTCTTTTTTTCTTTTATGTCACCTTGATATCTTCAACAATAGTAGGTGAATAATAGGGCAACCCATTGTACTGAAAATATCCCTAAGTTGCTTTTTAGGACAACAAATACTTCTTTCAAAATAATTTCCTGAGATAATTTTTTGCTGAGCAGACACCTTTAGAAACCTGAAGGCAGAAGACAGACTAGCTGGAATGCAAGTTAAGAAAGGCTTACTTCCATAACAATGATGAAAGTCATCTTGGCAGCAAGGACGTGCCAGTACTGCATATTATGAAAATATTTCTGGTCATGATCAGGTGGATATCTGTAATCCCTGTACCTGAAAAACAGAAGTAAATGCCAAAAAAATTAGGTATGATTTCCAATAGAGACCTAGCATAAATTCTTACTATTTCTCTTAAGAGACATTTTTAATTGACTACAAAAGTCAAGTCATAGGAAGATAACTCCTGTTATGAAATGTTTCTTTTTAGCACAGATAAAAATCATGGCCACATGTTACTTGTATCTAGTTTGGTGTAGCAGAAGACACAAGTGAAGCTTCTCACCTGACTTTCAAAGTCAAATTTCTCAGAAGAGTTACCAAAATGATGCTGTCTCTGTTCCCCCTCTTCCTGCTCTTTAATGCAGTTCTATGCACCACTTCCCTGAAATGCATTGTCTCCTATCCTTAAACTGAAGAAACACGCTAATCCTCATCTTTTTTGATCTTTAGACGGTAGGACTTGACATTGTTGACCATTTCTATTTTTTGAAACTCTATTTTCTTTTGGCTTATTTGACACTGCATTGTTTTTGTTTTTCTTGCTATTCTTCTGGACTTTTCTTAGTGCTCAACCTTGGGGGCTCATTGTTTTCTACAAAGTTGCTAGAGATTGATGTTCTTCAAAGATTTAGTCCAACTAGGAAGTGATGAAATCAAGAAAACTGACCCACATCTATGCTCTTAAACAGTATACTATGATTCCTCTATATGCAAATCTAAAACATAACAATGGTTTTGTCTACTGTTCTATCAACATTTTGCTGTTTCTTTGTTGGAATCCCAGATGAAGTAGCTGGCTTAAGGTTTAAGTTAAGTGGGGTGTGTGTGTGTGCGTGCGTGTGTGTATGTATACGTATATATGTATGTATCATATGTATATATATATATATATGTATATATTATATACATATATATGTATATGTTATATATACATATATGTATATATGTATATATACATATGTATACATATGTATATATTTATATATATATACATTTATGTCATATATATTTATTATATATAATCCTTAATTCATAGGGTAAAAAGACCCTCACAGTACATGAGACACTGAATGTGGAAATACATTCACAAATTTAATTTCATGCTTCCTACATGGAAGAAACCCTTAAAGTGGGATGGATGGTGAACTTATATTATTTCTCCCTTTCTCACTCTCTTTTTAAGGACACATAGTTAAATTCAAGTAGGTTAAATGCATATATAATATGATCATGCTGTATGATCTATAGATACTACATTTTGGGACCAAGATGTATTTGTTGGTCAGAAATCTTTCCAATAAATTTAAAAAATAAGAAACAATTCAAAATTGATATCTTTACCCATGATATTCTTTTACTTTTGGACATTCTACTTTTCCAAACCAGATTCATATGATGAGTGAATTCCAAAATTGACACACTTTACCCAGGATTTTTATTGCCCCAAATAAATCCTTCACATTGTAAGACAGGAAGAAAATGGAGAATTTAAAAAATACATTTAAAAAGCAAAATTAAAAGCTAAGAACGTAAGAAGGAACCTGCAAGTGGTGAAGTCTCGTTTCTCCCAAGGTGCAGTGTGGTTTGGAAAATCAGCTATCAGGAATGTTGACAGGCTGTCATTGACATATCCTTTCATGGGTGCAGTGGCATCCTTTGAGTAGGCATAGTAGTAAACTAAACGGGGAATGATGTCCGAGGTAAATGCAACAATAAAAGCCTAAAGAACAAAGTAAGAGGGAGATTTTGAGCTAACAATTTCGTTTTAAGAATATCTGATTTGCATATGTCTCAGTTCTATATGGATACAAATGATTAAAATGCCATTACAAATCATGTTAATAAATGAGTCTTTGGCCTAAAACATGAAATAGGCCTTTTAAAGCATATGATTAATATTCCAAGATTTCACAGCTAGAAAGTGGCTAAGGTGAAAAGTGAACCTAAATGCATCTAGCTCCAAAAACCATGCTCTTTCCACAATGCCTTGTTATTTCTTCCATTTATTTCACAGCATAGTTCTACTGTCCCTAACCAAATTCATTTGGCTGAATCAACTCTGTAAGCTAGGACAGTGTGTGTGCCTGCATCGGTGTGAGTTTGCACACGTGTGCACTATTGGTGGCTGGTGGGAAGCAAAGGAGAGATAGAAGACCATGTGATGGTAAATTGCCCAAAGTTCAGTGTAATTAATCTTAGTATTTAATTCTATAGGAATGGTATTTTCCCATTCTTACCTAAGCTCTGGAACTCCTGTTTCTTTTAGGTTAGGTAAGTCCATTTAAAACCATCTGGCTCTGCCATCTACATTGTTAGTGTAGATGCTTAAAAAAACTTTAGTTAGTTAGCTAGTTACTTATGTTTATTTATTTTTGAGAGAGAGAGAGAGAGAGAGAGAGAGAGAGAGAGACAAAGCACAAGTGGAGGGCAAAGAGAGAGGAGACACAGAATCTGAAGCAGGCTCCAGGCTCTGAGCTGTCAGCACAGAGCCTGATGTGGGGCTCGAATTCATGAACCAAGAGATCATGATCTGAGCCCAAGTCTGTCAACTGAGCTGCCCAGGTGCCCCTAAAAACTTTTAATATTACTTCTATAGCTACTGGTCCATTCAGGTTTTCTACCACTTACTGAATAAACTTTGGCAGTTTTTATTTTCTAAAAAGGTGACAATTTCAAATACATTTTATAATTTATTTGAATAAAGGCACATATATAACCATTTCACAATTTTCTTACCTGTATCTTATACCTTTTTTCTTGTTTTAGATTGTCAGAGTTTTATATGTCTTTTCAATGAAGCAGCTCTTGATTCACATAGGAATTATATTGCTTTTTTAACTTATTTTCTATTTTGATTATTTCTGATTGCATCTCTATAAACTCTTTCCTATTACTTTTTGTTGATTAGTTTTATGTTTTTCTTTAGTTTCTGAAATTATGTGCTCAGCTTATGCTTTCAAGTCTTCTTTTTTAATAATAAAAGCATTCAGGGGTACCTGGGTGGCTCAGGCAGTTAAGTGTCTGACTCTTGACTTTGACTCAGGTCATGGTCTCGTGGTTCAAGAGATTGAGCCTGACATTGGGCTGCACACTGACAGCACAGAGTCTGCTTGGGATTCTCTCTTTCTTCCAATCTCTCTCTGCCCCTCCCCTGCTCACACACATATTCTTTCAATCTCTCTCTCTCAAAATAAACTTAAAAAAATAACAAAAGCATTTATTGCTATGAATTTTTCTGTAACTATAGTTTTAGCTAATTCCTATAGGGTTTCATTTTAATTAAGCTCTCTATAATTTGAATTTTGTTTCCATTTTATACAATAAAGCTTACTTGGGAGTGTGAACGTTAGGTAGTTAGATTTTTTTTAAATTATCTTTATTATCGACTTCAATTTTTATAACATTATTATATACAAATAAGTGTTATAAAATTTCTGCTTTGGAGAATTTAGTTTCATTATCATTAAAAAAATGTTTTTAATGTTTATTTATTTTTGAGAGACAGAGTACGAGCGGGGGAAGGGCAGAGAGAGAAGGAAACAATATGAAGCAGGCTCCAGGCTCTGAGCTGTCAGCACAGAGCCCCATGCAGGGCTTGAACTTGCGAACCGTGAGATCATGACCTGAGCTGAAGTTGGAAACAACCGACTGGGCCACACAGGAGCCCCTCATTATCATTTTTTAATAAGTGCTCCATAAGCAAAACACATTAATGTTTTATATTCTCTATTTGTAGTATACAACTCCTTGTATAATTAAGCTTTAATTGTGTTATTCAAATCTTTTATACCATTACATATTTTCTGTCTACTCTGTCACATGCTATGAAACTATATCATGGTATTTTAAGGACAGTGGTTTTACAATTTTCTTTGTATTTCTAAGAGTTTGCATGTCATAAATTTCTCTATGTTGTTCAGTGCATAAAAGTGTAAGGATGGTTTATCATTATGGACTGTCACCATGATGAAAGCAACATAAATAAATATTGAGTTAAGCATCATTCACATCTCCCCAACCCCAAGAAAACGAAATAAAATACGAAGCCGTCCAACCAAAATGGGTCCACTTACATTAGTTGCAACAGAAAGGACAGCCATTCCATAAAGAATGTCTTGCCAAACACCTATGCTATGAGCTTTAGCAGCTACCGGTCTCCTGTACTGAGTTGTAAGTTTCCAGGCATCTACTCGGATCTCTATAATATTATTCAAGAGAGCAAGAAGAGGAGCCAAAGGAAAAGAGGCCACAAATAATGTGACAAATCCAAATTGGATAACTGTAGGGGAAAAAAAAATAGTGAAGTCATTATTATGAAAGAGAAAAAGGGGAACATTCTGCCCAATACCTCCAACTCCCTCCTTTTAGAGGGATCTACACCAGCAAAACCCTCCAGGCCTCTTTCCATCTGCCCACTCCTTCCTCCTCATTGGAAGCCTAGTGACTTGTTTGCTTACTAGAATAGAAAGGAGAAACTGAGCATGTACAACTCAGTTCTGTCCTGGCTGTTTCTTTTGACATCTGCTTCTCTGAAGAAAGCATCTCCTCTTGTCAGATAAGAGATTCTCTTTATTCTTTTTAAACATAGCCTTTTATTTTGGGCTATGTTTATGCCTATGCTGGCCCAGCCTTTACACTGGTATTGGCACATTAGTGGGGTAATCAAGTTTTTCTATCTTGCTAAATCTGTGAGATCAGGGATAAGGACTGATTCATTTATACGCTTCCAAGAGCCAGCATGTGTTGGGTATATAAACATACTCAACTATAATAAGCCTTATGAATGAATACATTATTTAAGGTTGGTTAAGGTCCTGATCCTCTATACTATCTTGACATCTTTCTAAATAAATTTTATTCTCTTTTCTCATTAAGACTTAGCATCTATGTAAGTTAGCTTCTCTTCCTATTTTTGTTTGCTTCCAACAACGATTAAGGTACAAGAATCCATTCAACTGGCAGTTTGGGCTTCCCGTGAGTGAAAAATGTAATAAGAGAACAGGACTGGCTTTCCACTAAAGGGGAAAAAAAAAGACTCTTCCACGAGTCCTCTATTTTTAGATGAATCCCAAGTGTTTCTGAATTTCAACTTTTCTCACAAAAAATTTTCAAAATAATCAGTCTTGCCATTTACTAAATCTACTGAACATCTCTACTGAACTAAGAGACAGAAAATTCAGAGGAAGTGTTATGTAGAAACAGTTTGAATTTTCTGGGTTCAAATCCCAGGTTTTTACCTAAAATCTTTCAGCCCATAACACAAATTAACCTATCCAAATTTCAGTATCCTCTAAAACAAAATGCAGTGAATAATGACTCCTCTGCAGAACGTTTCAAGATTAGGGATAATGTTCATTAAACAACCAGAATAAACTAACTCTTAGCTGTGTCTCAATAAATGGTAGTTAATTTTCTTATGACACCTTGATTTCATTTTTTTAAAATTGCAGTGATAATCCCTAACGCATCTATGCACAAATGCATTTGATACTTACAAATTTAATTAAAAATTACAGCCTCATCACCCCTAAAGCAAGGACTGCCCAATTTTACAGTCAGCTATATGAAACAGACTTCTCTCAATTTGTCTTAAATTTACCTATTTCAATCCAGGTATCATGTGTATGTATCACAGTGGAGAATCAATAACAATTTCAGGTCATTTTTTCATTCTATCATTATGGGATTAGAGAGTAAGTGAAGAATATTATTCCACCAGAGAAGCAGACAGGGTAACTTGGGAGGAAACACTCAGAGGTTAGAGTGGGAGAGAGCCAAAGCATAAGAGACTCTTAAAAACTGAGAACAAACTGAGGGCTGATGAGAGGTGGAAGGGACGGGAGGGTGGGTGATGGGTATTGAGGAGGGCACCTTTTGGGATGAACACTGGGTGTTGTATGGAAACTAATTTGACAATAAACTTCATATATTTAAAAAAAAAAGAGGGGAAACACTCAAGTAGACTTTATAAGTAGTCCTCAGCAATCATCCTTCCTAAAATTTCATCTCAAAATCTCTTCTCCGTTCAATCCTTAGCATTTTTATGCATTCTTGTATTCAATGTGAGCTTCCCTTGCACAACAGTTTTTAGCCTGCTTCTTTTCAGCCTGAAATAAAGAACTTACCTAAATGTATGTCAGACTCTGGAAACATCTTTCAACTTATTCTCTCTCTGGGCTGTCAGTGTGGCAAACAGGACAGCCATGCAAGCTAATCTGAGATAGGAATTTAAAAGTAATCCAGAGGTGTGATGGAAGCGAAAACACACCTCGGACTAGCACAGGGCCTGACGTGCCAGACAAAACGCAAAGGAAGGAAAAGACGGCTGAAGGGGGCAGTGGTGAACTGTGTGGAATTGCTGATGCTGGAGTTGAAACCTGAATATGAGGATGCTCTAAACTGATTTGCAGCACAGTAAAAATGGAAGAATAAGAGAATAAAATAGGAGCAGAACGGAGTCGCCGGAGCCAAGCGCAGACGAAAGGCCCACGGAAGAGGGTAGGAAGGGCGGCAGGCGGTGCCTGCTCCACGGACTGGCGGGAGGGAAGCCAGGGGCGGAGGGAGCGGCCTCGCCGGCAAGCAGAGCCCAGTCAGCTTGCAAAAAACGGAGGGGACCTGACAGGACTGTGTTCCACAGCAAGCGCGACTTAGCGTCTGGGGTCATAAGTTAACAGCTCTGCTCAGAAAGCGGGGAGGCTGGGACAAAGGGAAGAGAGCTGCTGAGCCCCGGACGACAGAGCTCCAGCGGGGTTGGTGAAATTAAAGGCGCTCGCCATGTCTCCCCGCCATCCCCAGCCAAAATCCCAAAGAACAGTTCCTGCCAGGGAGCTTGCTCGCTCACTGCGCAAACACCCAACTCTGCGCTTCTGCCGAACCACTCCCGGCAGCGGATCTGACTCCCCTCCTGCTGCCACGGGGCCCCTCGAAGTGGATCACCTGGGAGAAGCAAGCCAGCCTGCCCCTCCCCTGCCCCTGTGCACCTTGCCTGCCCCACCCCAGCTAAGACATGAATGTGGCATGTCACAAGCCTGGCAGTGTGCAAAGTAGCGAACAGACAGCCACCCCACCCCACAGTGGTGCCCCTAGGAGGGAAGAAAGGCACACACCAGTCTGACTGTGGACTACAAAGCGGTGCTGGGGGCAGACATCAGGTCTGTGCGGCTCCCGCCCACCAACTCCAGTTATACACCACACAGCACAGGAAGTGCCCTGCAGGTCCTCACCATGCCGGGGGCTATCCAAAGTGACCAATGAGGAAGAATTCCCCTCGTGCTCCAGGAAGTAACAGCTAATGAGCTGATCCAGATTTAAATAATATGACAGAAAGTGAATTTAGAATAATAGTCATATTAAAAGTGTCGGCTGGAAGCGGAAACAGTATAGCTGACAGCAGAGAGAATCTCTTGCTACAGAGATCAAGGGACTATTGATTTATTCAAGAGAGAGCTGAAAAAACGCTTTTAAACGAAATGCATAACAAAATGGAAACCACCATAGCTGTTGAAGGGCAGAGGGAGAATAGGTGAAACTAGAAAGATAAAGTTATGCTCTGGAAAAAAAAGGAAGCTGAGAAAACAGAGATAAAAAAATCAGGAGTATGAGGGAAAGTGGGAACTAAGTGATACACTAAAAAAGAAATGTCTCAGCATCTGGTATCCCAGGAGGAAGAGGAGAGGGAAAGGTGCTGGGGTACTTGAAGAAATAATAGCTGAGAACTTCCCTGAACTGGGGGAAGGAAAAAGGCATTGAAATTCAAGAGGCACAGAACTCCTCCAGGCGTGGCAGATGGTCGATCTTCTGCACGACATATCATAGTGAGGAAACTGTGCAAAATACTGAGGATAGAAGAAAATTCTACCAAGCTGTAGCAACAAAAGGGTAAACAATGCCCTCACATATAAAGGGAGACCTATAAGACTAGAAGTGACTGATCTCTCTTCTTTTTTGAAACTTGGCAGGCCAGAAAAAATTGTACAGGCAGTGTGCTAGACAGAAAAAAAATATGCAGCCCGTCCTTTGTCAACAAGTGCAATAGAATAGAGGGAGATAAAGGTCTTCCCAAACAAACAAAAACTGAAGAATTTGTCACCCATAAACCAGCCTACAAAGAGATCCTAAGGGGGATCCTGTGAGACCAAAGTACCAGAGACATCTACAAACATAAAAACATGCAAGACATCACAATGACATAAACCCATATCTTTCTATTAACACTGAATGTAAATGGATTAAGTAACCAAAGACATAGGAGTATCAGAATGGATAAAAAAACAAGACCCATCTATTTGCTGTCTACAAGAGACTCATTTTAGACCTGAGGACACCTTTAGATTGAGTGAGGATGGAGGGAACTATTTATCATGCTACTGGAAGCCAAAAAGAAAGCTGGAAGTAAAAGCCATACTTATATCAGACAAACTACACTTTTGAATTAAAAGTATGTAACAAGAGATGAAGAAGGACATTATATAATAGTGACAGGTCTATCCATCAGGAAGAGCTAACAATTATAAATGTCTATCTTTGTGAGCTCTGAGAACACCCAAATATATAAAACAATTATACTCATAAACACAAACAACCTTATTGATGACATTAAGATATGTGGTAGTGAGGGGACTTTAACACCCCATACAGAAATGGATAGATCATCTAGACCAGGTCAATAAAAAAACAGGGCCCTGAATGAGACATTGGATCAGGATGGACTTGACAGATATATTTAGAACTCTGCATCCATAAGCAATAGAATATACTTTCTTCTCCGAGAGTGCACATGGGAACATTCTCAGATAGATCATATACTTCGGTCACAAAACAGCCCTTCATAAGTTTACAGAGTGAAATCATACCATGCATACTTTCAAGACCACAATGCTATGAAGCTTGAAATCAACCACAGAAAAAAAAATCTGGAAAACCTCCAAAAGCATGGGTTAAGGAGCACACCAAGCAGATAGGTGGGTCAACCAGGCAATTGAAGAAATTAAAATATGAAGGAAACAAGCAATGAAAATACAATAATCCAAAGCGCTTTGGGGCCTTGGCGAGCAGTCACGGAAGAGGAAAAATACATTGCAATCCAGGCCTATCTCAAGAAACAAAGAAAAATCCCAAATACAAAATCTAACAGCACACACCTAAAAGGAAATAGAAAACAGAACAACAGGCAGCCTAAACCCAGCAGAAGAAGAGAAATAATATGTAAAGATCAGAGCAGAAATATTAATATAGAATCTAAAAAAAACTGTAGAGCAGATCAACAGAAACTTAAAGTTGGTTTTTTTTGAAAAAATTAACAAAAATTGACAAACTGTAGGCTTCTCAAAAGCGGAGATGACCCAAATAGATAAATCGACCAAGAAAATGGAATGATTACAACCCATCCCTCAGAGGCCACAAACAATTATCAAGAATACTATGAAAAACATATGCCAACAAATTGGACAACCTGGAAAATGGACAAATTCCTGAACACCCACACTCTTCAAAACTCAATCAGGAAATAGAAAAGCAAACAGACCCATAACCAGCGAAAGAAATTGAATGGTTATCAAAATCTCCCCAACAAATAGAGTCCAGAGCCAAGATATGGCTTCCCAAGGAGTTCTACCAGGCGTTTAAAGCAGAATAATACCTATCCTTCTCAGAAATATTCAGAAATAGAAAGGAAGAAAACTTCCAGACTCATTCTATGAAGCCAGTATACTTTGATTCCTAAACCAGACAAGTAGTAAAAACAGAGAACTACAGGCCAACCCTGATGAATATGGATGCAAAATTCTCCAATAAGATACTAGCAAATCGAATTCAACGGCATATATAAAAATTATTCACCATGATCAAATTAGGATTCATTCTGGGATGCAGGGCTGGTTCAACTGTGTCGCAAATCAATCATACGTGATACATCACATTTACAAAAGAAAAACCATATGATCCTCGAATCGATGCAGAAAAGGCCTTTGACAAAATCCAGCACCCTTGTAAAAACCCTTGAGAAAATTAGGGATAGAAGGAACATACTTAAAAGATCATATGGCTTCATTTATGAAAACACAGCTAACATCATCCTCGGAGAAAAACTGAGAGCTTTTCACAGGGTCCAAGACTACGACAGGGATGCCCACTCTCGCTGTTGTTTAACATAGGTGGAAGTTCTAGCATCAGCAATCAGACAACAACAGGAAATCAAAGGCATCAAAATTGGCAAAGATGAAGTCAAGCTTTCTTTTTGCAGATGACATGACATATTATACATGGAGAAAATCAATGAGCTCACCAAAAGTCTGCTAGAACTGATGCATGAATTCAGCTTAAAGTTTTGAGATACAATCAATGTGCAGAAAGTAAGTTGCATTCTTATACACTAACAATGAAGCAACAGAAGACAAATAAAGAAACTGATCCCATTCACAATTGCACCAAGAAGCATAAAATACCTAGGAATAAATCTAACCAAAAGATGTAAAAGGACATGCTGAAAACTATAGAAAACATGAGGTAATTGAAGAAGATTTAAAAAAGAAATGGAAAAGACATTCCTTGCTCATGGATTGGAAGAATAAATATTGTCAAAATAATATTACTACCCAAGCTATCACATTCAATGCAATCCCAATCAAAGATTGCACCAGCATTCTTCTATAGAAACTAGAACAAGCAATCTAAAATTCTTATGGAACCACAAAAGGCCCCGAATAGCCAAAGTATTGAAGAAGAGAAGACCAAAGCAGGAGAGCATCCCAATCCCCGGACTTTAGCCTCTACTACAAGCTGTCATCATCAAGACAGCATGGTATTAACACAAAAACAGACACATAGACCAATGGAATGAATGAAACCCCAGAACTAGTTCAAACATGGCCAACTCATCTTTGACAAAACATCAATGGAAAAGACAGTCTCTTTAACAAATGGTGCTGGAACTGGACAATAAACATGCCTTATGCCATGTGTATGCATTGTATTTGTGCTTGTATATTTTAGTATAGCAGAAAGTTGAAAACTAGACCACTTTCTCACCTGCAAAATAAACTCAAGTGGATCATGGGACCTGGATGTGAGACAGGAAACCATCAAACCTTAACAGAGGAGAAAGCAGGAAAAGACCTCTGACCTCAACCCGTAGCAATCTCTTACTTTCATACATCCCCAAAGGCAAAGAATTAAAAAGCAAAATGAATTACTGGGACCTTATGAAGATAAAAAAGCTGCTGCACAGCAAAGTAACAAAAGGCAAGGCAACCAGCGAATGGGGAAAAGATATTTGCAAATGACATATCGGGACAAGGGCTAGTATCCAAAATCTATAAAAATGCCACCAAACTCTCCCCACCCAGAAAACAAATAACCCAGTGAAGAAATGGGCAGAAAAACATGAATAGACACTTCTCTAAAAAGAAGAAGACATCGGACCAACAGGCACATGAAAGATGTTCAGCGTGCATCGCTCCTTATCAGGAAATGCAAATCAAAACCACACTCAGGTATCACCTCCATGTCAGTCAGAGTGGCCAAAATGAACAAATCGGGAGACTATAGATGCTGGAGGATGTGGGCTTGGAACCCTCTTGCACTGTTGGTGATTGCCAAATTAGTGCAGCCCGGCTCTGGAAAGCTTATTGGAGGTTCCTCAGAAAATTAAAAATAGACCTACCCTATGATGACCCAGCAATAGCACTGCTAGAATTTATCCAAAGGGACACGGTACTGATGCATAGGGGCACTTGTACCCCCAATATTCATAGCAGCACTCTCTGTAGCAATAACCAAATTATGGAAAAGAGCCTAAATGTCCCATCAACTGATGAATGGATAAAGAAATTGTAGTTTATATACACAATGGAACACTATTCGTGAGAAAAAAAAGTGAAATATATGGCCTTTTTTGTAGCAGCGTGGATGGAACTGGAGGTGTGATGCTAAGGTGAAATAAGCCATACAGAGAAAGACAGATACCATATGGTTTCACTCTTATGGATCCTAGTAACAGGAACCCATGGGGGGAAGGAAAAAAAAAAAAAAAGGGTTAGAGTGGGAGAGAGCCAAAGCATAGAGACTGTTGGGAACTGAGAACAAACTAAGGGTTGATGGGGGTGGGAGGAGGGAGGAATTGGGTGGGTGATGGTATTGAGAGGAGCACCTTTTGGGATGAGCACTGGGTGTTGTATGGAAACCAATTTGACAATAAATTTCATATATAAATAAAAAAAAAAAAAGAATAAAATAGCTAAAAAAAAATTAAATAAAAAAATAAAATAAAATAAAAGTAATCCATACTTTATGTGGTTCAACAATCTTAATGTTCAATTGATAGGAAAAACATCTCTACCATTGGTGTTTTGAAATTAAACTTCATTCTGCATTCTATTTGGTAAGGATATAAATACCGAACCAATCTTTTCCATATCCATCCATGTTTCTTTTAACCTACCATCCAATAATTTTTTGGAAACCTACCATCTGCAAGGCAGGAAGAAATATAAAGAGCTGGAAAAACACTTACTCTACTCAACCTGACTCTATGTTTCAAGACAGTGGTTAAAAATTACCTGTTTCTAAGTACTCATAGAACAGCCCAAGAGATCCAAAAGTTTCAAGGTCATGATCCTGCTCCCATCGACTGTATAGCTTTTCGGAATTGGTCCGAGCTTTTCGACGTCTCCACCAATTCAGAACCATACTGTTGGAAGTGATAAAAGTAAATACATGATTAGAATTTAAAAGTAAGGGGTCAGAGAATAAGGGCGTTAGATCTAGAAATTGGCAGTAAGACAGGGTAGGTAACTTAAGATCACAGAGCAAGGAGAGATGACTATAGCTAAAGTTGAAATAAAAATCTACAGTTCTTTTCATAACACATGCTGCAGTCAAAGTTCTTTATTGGGGTGATAAAGAAAATAAGACAACCCTGACTCTCCCCTATGAAAATATATTTACTCAGAGACAGTTCTGTTAAAGAGCATGTGGACAAGAGGGTCACCATAGCACCTTTTTTTTTTTTTCCATTTAATTTATTAACCTTTATGTTGTCATGAAGAATGCTCAAGGAAATGAGAAATTGGTTACAAGAGAAAAATATATGACAAAGGAAACAAAGAGGCTTATCTAATATGTGAAAATAAATGCAATAATCCCAAACAAAATATTGCCTAACTAAATTCCATATTATTTACAAAATAATATATTATGATGTTAGATTACTTTAAGGAACAAAGGGTTTTTTATTAGAAAATCAATCAATGTAATAAGTCACATTAGCAGATTTGAGTAGAAAAAGATAAAATCATGTTGACAAATGCAGAAAAATTCATTTGATACATTTCGAGCACCTATTAAAACCTCTATATGACAGAAAAGTAGGAAAAGAAGGAAATTACTTCAGTTGGATCAAAAGCATCTACCAAAATCCTGGGTGAACATCATCCTGAATAAGGGAAAGTCACAGCAAAGGAAACAACTAACAAACCAAAAGACAACCTACTGAATAGGAGAGGATATGCATATGGCTTATCTGATAAAGGGATAAAGATACCACAATATCTTCTTTATTTATTTTTTTTTTTTTAATTTTTTTTTTTTTCAACGTTTATTTATTTTTGGGACAGAGAGAGACAGAGCATGAACGGGGGAGGGGCAGAGAGAGAGGGAGACACAGAATCGGAAACAGGCTCCAGGCTCTGAGCCATCAGCCCAGAGCGTGACACGGGGCTCGAACTCACGGACCGCGAGATCGTGACCTGGCCGAAGTCGGACGCTTAACCGACTGCGCCACCCAGGCGCCCCATCTTCTTTATTTTTAAATGAGGTGTGAGGTCTACATTGTTCCAGCAGCTTCTTCAATGAACTGCTTTTGCACCTTTGTCAAAAATGAAATGGCTACATTTGCATGGATTTATTTCTGCAATCTCTACTCAGTTCCACTGATCCATACATGCATTCCTTCACCAATCTCACCATCTTGATTAATATTAGTTTCATAATAAGCCTTAAAATCGAGTGGTGCAATTCTTCCAACTGTATTTTTTATCAGAATTGTTTGGCCTGTTTTAGTTCCTTTGCCCTCTATATCAATTTTAGAATCTGCTTGTCTATAACTATAGAAATTCTGCTGATATTTTGACTGGAATTACAAATCTATATATCAATTTGGGGATAACTGGCGTCATTACTAATTTTAGTCTTCCAATCTGTGAGCACATTTCTCCCCAAATAATTTTTTTTCCACCAGGATCTGTAGTTTTCGGCATATAAATCCCATATATTTAAAAAAATTTGTACCAGTTATTTCATTTTATTTTGGTGCTTACTCTTTCTGTACTGATCGATGATTCTTGCTTCCCATACTTTGATTTTGTGCTCTTTTCTTGCTCAACTACACCTTTCAGTAGTTCTTCCATTGAGGGTCTATAAATGTAAATTCTTGTTTTTATGTCTAAAAGTGTCTTTATTTCACCTGCACTTTATAAAACAGTTAAACTGGTTCTAGAAATCTAAGGTGTGCATTAATTTTACTCCAAATCTTGAAACGACTCTACTGTCCTCTGTACCCAGTGCTATGAGTAAAAAATCTGTTGTCAGTGTAGATGATACTCTTTTTTCTTCTGGAAGATTTTAAGATTGTTTACCTCTCATGTTCTGGAGTTTCACCATAGCATATCTGGGTGTGAATTTAATTTTATTTATCTTACTTCATACTCCGAATTTGTTTTCATTTCTGAAACTCATGTTTTCCTTCAGTTTTGGAAAATTATCAGCAATTACCTAGTCAAAGAATTTTTCCCTCCCACCATTTACCCATTCTCTTTTTTCTGGAACTACTACTAAGTTGATGTGGAAGCCTCCTAATATAGTCTGTCACTTTATTTATTTATTTATTTTTTTAATTTTTTTTTTCAATGTTTATTTATTTTTTTTGGGACAGAGAGAGACAGAGCATGAACGGGGGAGGGGCAGAGAGAGAGGGAGACACAGAATCGGAAACAGGCTCCAGGCTCCGAGCCATCAGCCCAGAGCCTGACGCGGGGCTCGAACTCACGGACCGCGAGATCGTGACCTGGCTGAAGTCGGACGCTTAACCGACTGCGCCACCCAGGCGCCCCTGTCACTTTATTTTTTTAATTTCATTGTCACTCTATTGCCATTTGTATAACGTGGGAGTGTCTCAGTACTATTTTCCAATTCATTAATTCACTCTTCAATTGTGTCCAGTCTGCAATTGATGTCACCTATTGTACTCTTTATTTAAAGTACAATTTTTTTTCATTTATGTATAATTGATTCTTTTTACTGTCAATTTATTCTTGTTTCATTTATATGTTTTTATTTAAATTCTTTCCTGATCCTTCTAAGTGACAGTATCACTTCCTTTTATGCTTTTAGGCTTTGCCAGAAACTTCTAGCTAGAGTAAGTTCACTTTCTAAAACTTGATTTTGTTAGCAGTCTCTGTAGCATTAAATTTTATCATAAGTTATGGAATTTTGGTTTCTGTAGGTTTAATTTTACTTTTTTCTTTTTTCTTTTACTTCCTTGTGTGTCTGTCTCCTTTCCTCTTTTACTTTTCTTTTACTTCCTTGTGTGTCTGTATTTATTCTCCTCTTGTGTTTGGTTTAGGGGTTATCCCCATTCTGCCCTCCAGATCTCAGTTTACAGCTAGGACTTAAAAGAGCAGCTTAGAGTTATTTCCCTGGGGCAATTGGGATGCAGTGCATCAAATACTGTTTGAAAAGATAAGTCTATGTTCTCCCTTTGTCAGCACATGAAAAAGAACCCCAGGAGTGCTACAGAACTGTAGGGAGAAGTAGGAGCAGAGGGGGAGGCTGTTTTCAACTTTTTCATAAAGAAGTGAGAATAAACCCAATCCCTAACATCAAGTACAGTTACACTGGCCAAGCCCTAGTCCTAAGTGGGGCACTTTAGTCTACTTGACACTATAGGTGTTAACCTTGGCACTGTCATTTCCTAACTGGGAGACCTGCAAGATTACAGGCTTATGATTCTTTCTCTTTTTATCCATGGAAATTTTCAACTTATATTTGAGATCAACTGTCATTCTGGTTTTCTCTTTTGATAATGTATTCATTATTGCTATGCTTTTGGACTAGGGAGCAATTCCTTCATATACTAAAACTTCATTCATGACCAATTTTTGTGCCTAAGTGTGTCCATGTCACAAAGTTTATTTATTTATTTTGGGGGGGAGGGAGGGAAAAGAGAGAGGGAAAGAGAGAGAGCCCGACATAAGGCTTGAACTCATGAACCATGAAATCATGACCCGAGCAAAAATCAAGAGTGGGACACTTAACTGACTGAGCCACTCAGGTGCCCCTCACATGGATATTTTTAACAGAGTTCAACATTTAGTAATCTTGAGAAATAATATGTGACATACAGAATAATATACAGAGGATACAATATTTAGATTTCCCAATGGAATCTCCACAGGAAAGAGGGATAATACATTTCCCTCAACTTCACTCAAGCAATAAAAATCCATATTTAAAAGCCTGTGTTACCTAAACGCATTACTATTGATTAAAAGTGAGTTTTTGTTGTTGTTGTTGTTGTTGTTGACTTAAGCATTTGCTAACAAAGATACCATGATAATCAAAGAATTCCATCTTCTTCCAGAAGAAAGCTCTTATGGTTATTTAGGAAAAACTTGTAAGTCATACATACGGATAAATGGCTTCTTTAATGTTTCCAAAGATCTGTTTCCCAGTCATTATGATGGTCAACTGGGTCGTCAATTCTATTAGACAGCCTCCAGGATCACACTAGTCAGAGGCAAGAAGGAAAAAGAGTGAATGATGAAAGATAGACTTTTGCAAAAAAAAAAAAATCTCAAACCAAAAGACTACAATCTAAAGATTTTAATGGGAATGGATGTTAAAGGGGTATAAAGAGATATTTAGCTCAACAGTTTCAAGCATGTTCATTAACCAGTTATGAGATAGCAGCATTAGATTCAGATTCTGGTCTTACTCTTAGAAGATTCTTTATATATTTATATCTGAATCTTTATATTTGGATTGGGGCTGGAAGTTGTTATTTTCTCCATGTGATTTAGATACACAACCACATATGGAAACCACCTACTGGTCTAACTCTGTAACGCATGGTGGAGCCATTTCTGCTATACTTGTGGAACACTATCATTCATTCCTTTGCAGGAAATCTTCAGGAATATAAAACGTACTTATCCCATTTTATAGCTCATATTTACTACTAAACAATAGGTACAATATCACTTCTTGCCCAAAAGGAATTGGAAAGTCTACCAGATGACAGGATTGTGAGACCAATACTCTCTGTGGAGAGAGTTGGTGTCTTAGACTTCTCTTAAATCCTGATAAAATCTGAGTTAGTGCTGGACACACAAAAAGTATGTAGTTAATTATTGAGTTACTAAAGCCACAAACCTCTCAAGAGAATTCCTACCTCTTCACTTCTCCACACATTAAACAAATACGTGTATTTTCCGGGATAGCCCACGAACTTCCCTTTAAAGAAAGCTACGTAGAAGCAGGACGAGTAAAAATTTACAAACTGAAACAGGAACATTTTCAAGGTAAGACTGCTCTCATATTCCTGGTAAGTTCGAGGAATTTCTGTTAAGTAATAAAACACCAAGGTTAAATTATGTGCCTTCCTGTTTCTCTTTTAATTCTGTATTCCCTGGTTCAAGTCATATTATTAGTCACATTATTCAGATAACCTGTTGAAATGTGACCCACTCTTCATTCTAACAGACCAATATCAAGATTTATGGTCGGCTTTCTTTTTTTTTTTTTTTT